TCAGGGATGCTTTAAAAAAAAAATACTGATGGAGGGGCACCTGGGTGGCTCAGTCGGTTGGTTGGCCGGCTCTTGGTTTTAGCTCAGGTCATGATCTCAGGGTCATGGGATCGACCCCGTCAGGCTCTGTGCTCAGCAGGGTTATCTGCTTGGGATTCTCTCTCTCCCTCAGCCCCTCCCCCCGCTTGCACCCTCTCTAAAATAAATAAATAAATCTTAAAAAAAATACTGATGGGGGAAGAGACAGACCTAGAGATACAGATTTCACTGATGTGGCATGGGCCCTGGATACTGGTGTCTTAAAAAAATTCCCCAAGTCGTTCTTTTTTTTTTTAAGATTTTATTTATTTATTTGAGAGAGAGAGAGAGACTAGGGGGAGGGGCAGTGGGAGAGGGAGAAGCAGACTCCCCACTCAGCAGAAAGCCCGATTCGGGGCTCGATCCCAGGACACTGGGATCATGATCTGAGCCGAGAAGGCAGACGCTTACACAACTGAGCCACCCAGGCGCCTCTCCCCAAGTTGTTCTAATGTAATTTGTTTCCAAGGGTTGAAAACCACTGGCCGAGATGGTGGTTCTTAATATATTTTTGGAGGAGCGGGAGGCAGAAAAGGCATCTAGGAAGCTTTTCCCCATTGCCCATGCCTGCCCCCTCTATCAACATCTTAGTGAAGGGGCTGTGCCTATAGGTTAAAAAGCCTGATTCTGATCTTCCCAGAGCGCAGCGGAGGGCCATTGGTGGGGTGGAGCTCCAGAGCTTGCATTAACATTCTTTATTAGGTAACATTAGCTCCACACAAGAGAATAAATATAACTCATAAGTACGTTAAGCAGAATAATAATAAAAGACCTCGTGACCCAACTGAAATCCCGGACCTTTATAAACACAGTTGGTGTTACTTGGTCTCCCTCCTCCCTCCCGCCCCCTGCCTCCCCGCGGGAGATAACCTCCTTCTTCAATGGGGTCTGCATTATTAACAAGCCGGTGGTCTTGGCGCTTTGCTTCCAAGAAACCCAGGTTCTGGGCCTGGGGAGGGCAGGGCCTGCAGGTTGGGAGGGTGTGAGGAGGCGGGGAGGAGGATCAAGGGCCCGGCTGTGAGCACGGGATGCAGAGCCCGGGGAGCCAGGCAGAGCCTGCCACAGCCTCTGAAAGCAGGCAAAGCGTTTGTTAAAGTGCTAGAGAAATCCCTTTAGACCCAGTACAATGGAGACCCAGATGCTCTCGGAAAAGCCAGGCTTTCAACTGTTTTGTTTTCCCAGCCCTGACTGCGGCTGCCAAATTGACAGGCACGCAATAGCTCAGGGGGTGCAGAGTTCGAGGCCCCACGGATCTGTCAGATAAGAACAAAAAGATGCAGCTTGATCTCTCTTTCTCTCTAGGCTAATCACTCGGGTGAGCCTTTCCTTAGGATTATTATTCAATTATAAACCCATATGCTTAAAGCGAATCAACCGCTACCTTCCTTAGAATGTACAAAGTAGGTCAGCGTTGGTCCACCAGGGTGCACAGCCTCTGAACGAGCGCCACAGGCCGTGTGAATAATTTAGTGGACACATCCCCCGGAGCGGCACTGCAATAGGAGCGCGTTTTCTCTCCCCGGAAGATTGTCAGCACCCCGAGGAAAGAGGATGCCCAAGCACCCAGCTGTAGGAGCACCAGAGGGAAGGGGAAATTGGGAGTGGAGGGGTGGGAGTACCAGGGCAGGAAAACAGCTCTTGGAAGGCCGGGAGACTGAGGCAGAACTTGGGGCAGGGTCTACGGATGGGATCCAGGGGAGACTGAGTCAGGGACTGCATGAGGAAACATGTCCAATCTGAGGGCTGGGGCACAAGGACATCAAGATCCAGTCTTGCTTAGGGGATGGATAGAATAAAGAGTGGGTTTAGGTGACACTGGTAGCCAGGGGGGTGGCTTAGGATCTATGGGCCTTTAAACACTCCACAACTAGAGCCTGAGATGGATTGGGGGGCCTTAAATCACACAGGGGCTTTTATGTGTTTTCCAGAGGCAGCTGCTCCCATGGATGAGAAACCTGGAAAAGATCAAGAGTTACTCACCACCTTGCACAAAGATGCACGTGCTGAGGTTTTCACTGGCTATGAAGAGCTAAAGGCTCTCAGGGGAAAAGCTGTCACTCCTGGCTAATGAGGTCCCGGCAGATGACAATGTGAAAAATAAGACAAAGAAGGCCAGCCTGCCCTCTGAGAGGTGGATAGAGAGCGTGGTGACAGCATGGCATCCGACCTTGGACTACAGGTCTCCCAGGCGGGGACAGGAGCCAGAAAGCTACAATTTGGGGTGCCAGGCCTGAGCATACTACAGCAGGGACCCCAGGGATAATCAGAGTTATGCTGATAGTAAATACTATGGCCTCTCTTACATTATTGCTGGGAGTAGACCTTGTGACAGCCAGTCTGGAAAATAATTTGGTGGTACCTCCTAAAGCTGAGCACATGTGTACCCTGTGACCCAGCAATTCCACTCCCAGGAATGTGCCCCACAGAAATGTGTGCACAGATTTGCTGAAAGAAGTATACGAACATTCATAGCAACAGTATGGCAACCACCCAAACACCCATTGATAAGTACTGTGTGGTACATCAGACTACAAAACAGTAAAAGCAAATAAAATACAACATGAATTTCACAAAAATAATGCTGAGCTAAGGAAGCTGATGCAAAGGAACAAACCACTTAATTTCATTTATATAAAGTAAACAGTCAGAACCAATCTACGGTGAATATACTAAAAACCATTGACTTCTATACTTTAAGTGGGTGAATTGTATGGTGTGTGGATTATATCTCAATGAAGATGTTTGTTTGTTTGTTTGTTTGTTTTAAACTGTGGTATTAGAAGTCAGGATAGTGGTTATCCTTGGTAAGGAGTAGTGACTGGGAGGGGGCATAAGGAGGGACTCCGGTCTGGCAATGTCTAGCCTCTCGATTTGGGTGCTGGTTACAAGGGTGTGTTCAGTTGTGACAATTCTATATACTTACAATTTGTGCACTTCTTGGTATTTATGCTATGCTTCAATAAAAATAGAAACGACAAGGACCACAAACCAAACAGGCTGGGCCTGGCCTGGCTCCAGTACATGGGGATGGGGAACTGGATATGCTCCCTCACTCCGGAAAGGTCCTGTCACTAGTGTACCCTGCAAGAGGACCCCGCAAAAGTTTATGGGGACGGGGCTCCCCATTTCATCAGTGAGGCATTACCCACAGGTCCTGGGGGAATTCTCAGAAGAGAAAGTGGGAAGGGTCTGCCTACAGCCTCTCTTCTCTGGGCTCCGCTAGGGTAGGCAGATTCGGCCCCAGATGCTGAAGTATCAGTCCTGGAAGCACCCTTGCCTCAGAACAGGCTAGGCTGCAGCTACTGTGACTCCTCGCAGCCCAGCCTTCCAGGGGTCTGGTCTGTTGCTCCTGGACTGGAAAGGGAGGGTATCTTCAGGGAGACCTAAATAGCCAACTGCCTGAGATGGGCCAGCCCTAGAACTGTGACCGCAAGGCCAGCCTCTGCCTGCCCCAGCCAGGCTCCTCAGAGGCAGGTTTGGAGAGCCTTGTCAGCCACCGCCTAGCCAGGACACCTGAACCCCCAGGAAAATGGATCCTGGGGGGAGACACCTGAGCATGGGAGAAGGGCTCCCCGAGAACCCCAGGTAGAACAGAGGTGGGATTTTAGGGTGCAGGGCCATTGGGGATTTGAGGCTGTGGGCCAAAGTAGGACAGAGGACTGACTATAGCCCCTGGGCCAGTAGCTAGTGGATCCCTTTCTCCCAGGGAGTGTTAGAGGCCAAGGCCTTTGGAAGTCAGACAGTGTAAGGGGCTGCCTCCCGGGTCAGGAACTTGTAGTCCTTGAGATTCTGATTCAATTCTGCATTTAAAAAAATCTTCAGGGGTGCCTGGGTGGCTCAGTCAGTTGAGTGTCTGACTTCGGATCGAGCTCCACGTCAGGCTCCCTCCTCGGCAGGGAGTATGCTTGTCCCTCTCCCTCTGCCTCTCCCCCAACTCGTGCTCTCTCTCTCTCAAATAAATAAAATCTTTAAAAAAAACCTTCATAGGTGACTCTGATGCATAGCTGGGTACAGAGACCCACACAGATTAAGCATCATTCACTGATTCACTCAACAAACATTTCCTGGGTAGCTACTCTGGTTCCTGGTCAGGGCCAGGCTCTGGGAAAGCAGAACAATACTGTCAGGCCTTAAGGAGTCCATAGTCTGGTGTTCACGGAGAGGTTGGCATGCGACAGATAATTACAATGCAGAGGAATGACAGCAATAACAGGTTCCGGAGCACAGAAGAGGGATAAAAGAACCCACATATGACTCTTTCCTCCTAATTCATTTGTTTCACAGGCCTGAATTTTTGTATTCTGCATTCAGGAACATCCAGCAGCTCAGGCCCCGCTCAATAACTGTAAATAGTGTCCATGGCCATGCCCTCTGAAAGAGGCTCACCACGTTTTTTTTCTAGCTGTTTTTAAAAATAATGAACAAGCTAGGAGAGATAATACAAGATCGCTCACTATGTCTGTTTCATAATTACTGCCATTAAAATCGTCTAGAAGAGAAATATCTATTTGTCACCATCTTTGGGGAATTAATTTAGCTTATCACACATAAAGGAGTCTATCAGATCAATTCCTCACTCCTGTCACATACAGGCACAATAACAAACACCAGCAAATTCTCTTCTTCTAGGTCTGCGTTACATGCCATAGAAATATAAACATAAAATCAGTGTCCGGCCTCAGTACATAGGTAAGTGATGTGGTCAGTAAAACAGGCCCACATACCTCCTTTTCGGTAGTCATGGAGATCTAGGACATCTAGCCTGGAATTTCCTATGTCAGTTGCCACAGTGGCCCCAGGAGAGCACCCTTCTCCTTTGAGCAACACAGCAGGGGCATCGTGTTCACATGGGTCTAGTCTGGAGCAGCCCCACAAATGGAAGAAGCCAAAGGGAAGGCACCTTCAGCAAAAAGGAGCATTACCTTGGTCCCGTGGTAGAAGTCGTCCACACACGTAGCGTTCATGAAGGTCTGATGGAAGTGGGTGCTGGTGTCAATGCCTCCAGGGATCACCAGCTTCCCAGTGGCATCGATCACCTTGGCCCCTCCAGGGATCATGAGCTCACGGCCCACCTGCTGGATGATGCCATTCTCGATGTAGACATCAGCCTCGTGGGTGCAATCATCGTTCACCACCTTGCCTCCCTTGATGAGAATCCTCACGCTGCCTGAATTGGCAAGCATGTTCCTACAGAAGGTGAGAGGGAGGCACTGGTCAAGGTCAGAGTCCCTTTTCACTGTGACCGAGGTCCCACTTCTTCCCACCAGAGGCCAACCTCCATGGGCAGAGTAAGTGAGCAGGGAAGAGAAGGAAGTTTCTCCACAGCCTGAGAACATCGGTCCTACAACCGACTGGGGTCACAAGCCTCCCACTGACCTCCTAGTGGGACTTACTGGGAATCATGACACAGTGGCAGTAAGGATGAATCTGGGGCCCAAAGAAACATCAATGTTTACCTTCCCAAAATGCTGTGTAGGTTCAAAAGCATTTTCATACCTACTGTGTTGTTTTATTCTCGAAACCACCCGAGGAGTCACATTTTACCAACAAGAAAGCTGAAATTGCTATAGTAAGGAATCGATGGCTTCTAAGCAGCCAAGTCAAACCCAGATGCCTTGGATGACCAATGTCCCCATTATATGATATGGTCCCAAAGATATCAGGGGCTCCTGGGGCATGTCTCCGAGAGCCAAATTCTCTAAGCCTCCCCGTTGTTTAATTCATGTCATTCTTCAGATGGATTCTGCTTCAGCTCGCCCTTCCATCCTTCCTCAAGGCCACTACCACACCGAACTCCACAGCAGGCTGCACAGTTAATAAGCTCATCCGCAGAGCTTTGGAAAAGCACCTTCACTCAAGTTCCACCCCCAGAGATTCAGCTTTATTTGCTCCGGATTGGGTCCCCCAGAACCACTATTTTTTTTTTTTTTAAGATTTTATTTATTTATCTGACAGAGAGAGACAGCAAGAGAGGAACACAAGTAGGGGGAGCAGGAGAGGGAGAAGCAGGCTTCCCGCTGAGCAGGGAGCACGATGCGGGGCTTGATCCCAAGACCCTGGGATCATGACCTGAGCTGAAGGCAGAAGCTTAACGACTGAGCCACCCAGGAGCCCCCGGAACCACTATTTTTAAAAGCTAGAGAACCTTACCATATGCTTAAAGAATGAATGCCAATCTCTTGCAGAAAGGAGAAGAGAAGGAAACATTCCCAACTCATTTTATGAAACCAGTATTACTCTGATACCAAAGCCAGACAAAGACAGCACCAAAAAAAGAAAATTATCGAGTAATATCCCTCATAAATATAGATACAGAAATTCTTAACAAAATATTAGCAAGTGGAATTCAGCAATATGTAAAAAGAATTCTACACCATGCAAATGGATTTATTCCAGGGATGCAATGTCAGGTTCAGTATTTGAAAATTTAATCAATGTAATCCACCCTATTAACAGGCTAAAGAAGAATCACATAATCACATATCATTTGATGCAGAAAAAGCATTTGACAAAATTCAAACATCTATTCATGATAAAAGCTCTCAGAAAAGTAGGAATAAGTTAACTTATTAACCTCTGCCTCTCCCTCCGCTGGGTCTCTTTCTCTCTCTCAAATAAATAAAAATTCAAAAATAAAATAATTTTGACAAAGAAGAATAAAGTGGAAGGAATTAGTCTACTGAACTTCAAAACTTATTACTTAGCTCCAGTAGTCAAAACTGGGTAGTATGGATGGAGACACAAAATCAGTGGAACAGAATAAAGATCCAGAAATAGCCCATATAAGTATGGTCAACTGATTTTTGACAAAGGTGCAAAAAAACCATTCAATGGAGGGAAGATAGTTTTTTCAGCAAATGATGTTGAGCAATTAGATATCCATAAGCAAAAAATAAACCTTGACTTAAATCTCAGATCTTATACAAAAATCAACTCAAAATGGATCATCCATTGAGTGGCCGCATTTGACCACTAACCATTCTCTTCCTCTTGGAGCTCCCTCTCCTTAGCATTAAATGTGGCCATGCAGGGGAGGGGAATAAGGACCACAGGGAGATCTTGGCCGCTGTTTTGGAGAGGAGCAAGTCTTTGATAAATGGTGGTTGAAGGCATGTTTGTAGAAACTTGTCAAGTCCTTTGTGAGTAAAGGGAGCCATAAAATGGGCTGAGGACAGCATGCCTGAAGGAAGAGATCAATTTAAGACAGATCTAAGATTTTTTCAAACAGCTAGGAAAGAGTCAAAGGATTGATTAAAGATAAAAGAGGACAAGGAATTACTTGTAATGGAAGGTCTTGCAGCATGGAAGAATGATGGCCATTATTAATGGAAGCCAGGTCTCTGTCACAGACTTAGATGGTTTATTTTATTTGATCCTTCCAAAGGTATTATTATGCCCATCCACAGAGGAAACAGATTCAAGAGAGGTTAAGGTCAAGGCTTGTAGAAAGGAGATATGTGAAGATGCAGAAGAGGTGGGGATACACAGGAATCTGTGTTCTCTCTGCTCTGAATAGTGGGAGGCGGAGAGCTCCTGGGAGCAGCGAGGAGCAAGAGGATGTGAGCAGAGTGGGGGAGATGTGGAGGAGCCACTGTGGGGCCTAAGACTAAGCGGGCTGGACACAGGGGAAGGGGTAGGTGTTCAGACGGCTGCCGTGATGGAGCTAATCAGAATCCCGTCCAGGGAGCACCTTTGGGTTGGATCTGCAACTCTCCTGACCCTTAGGTATCTGAACAGAAATGATTTTCATTTAGACTTAGGAAAGATACAACAAAGTCTGACTAGGAGGAGGGAGACTTCACCATTGCAGGGTCTCCCTGGGCATGAGTGAAGCCCACCTTTCCACTTGGTAAACTGCTCATTCTTCAGGACCTAATCCAGTTGTCCCCCTTTATAAGAAGCCTTCTTCTCTCTTCTCTCTGCCACCTTCACAGACTTCATGGCCCTGGAGTCTCTCCGCACCTCTGAACTAAGGTTCTCAAGGTCCAAAGACTTATTAGTGATCATTGTTTCTGCTCCCTCTTCAGCCCCAGCCCCAAGTATAGGATACTCAAAACCAGTGAACAAATGAATGAATGGCCTCATCTACTTGTTGCATCCCAACAGGATCGAATGGCTTAAAGCAGTGAGTGGTAGGCTGTTCCATATTTGTTTTCTGGGATATCTGGCAACTCTATGTCCAGGACAATGCTCAGCTTTCATCCCTTTTCCAATACAGCAAATTACTGTGGACAGAGCAGAGGAAGAAACATATTTCCTCTTATTCTTGTCACTTCGTTTGTCTGCCATCAGGTAAGCTGTGAGGAGGCTGTGCCCCAGGATGAAAAGGCCTAGAACCTGTTGAAGGAATACCCTCTTGTAAGGAGATGGGTCAGCTATCTGGTGATCTTAGCCTGCTCTCCTGGACACACTTGGTTAAGCAGTTTGTTTTTGTCAAGTTGACCAGGCTGGAGTGCATGGAATCTCCACACCAAGAAAGTTGGCTGTGCCTATTCGGGGTCAACCACGAGGCTCTCCTGCTGTTAGGTGGCCAGCCCCTTGTGGGGCTGTTGCTGGGGAACAAGACAGGTGGTGGGAGTGAACCCTGTTCCCTTGCACAGCAACAGCTGTTTCCCAGGAACATCTGCGCCCCTCCCCTCCCAGGTATCAGTCCAACCTCTGGGGAGAAGGGGCCCCTCCCCTAGTGAGGAAGGTAGTGGGCAAAGAGGCAGTGGGGAGGAGTCTGGCTGGAGAGATGGGAAGATGGGACAGTCCCAGCCATAAGCTTATTGTCTGAACCTGGATGAAGCTGAGTATATTTGATCTTTTGTCCTAAAATCTGAAAACTGGAGTTTTAATTTAATATGCAATTAGGAAATGAGTTTCTTTGTAGGTGAGGGACACAACCACCCTGGCCAAAGGAAGCCCAAAAAGGCTGACAGATGCAATCTCCCTCTCTTTTGTTTATGAAGCCAAGGCCAAGTGTGACCATGAAAGGAGAGATGCGACTTCTCAGTTTGCACTAGAGGAGGGAAGTGATGGTGATGGAAGAGATGGCCGAAAGAAGACAACCCCCACTCCCAGCCCCCTGTGCAAATATATAATCCTCACTTTTTTTTTTTAAAGATTTATTTATTTATTTGAGAGAGCGAGAATGAGAGAGAGTACATGAGAGGGGGGAGGGTCAGAGGGAGAAGCAGGCTCCTTGCTGAGCAGGGAGCCCGATGCGGGACTCGATCCCAGGACTCCAGGATCATGACCTGAGCTGAAGGCAGTCGCTTAACCAACTGAGCCACCCAGGCGCCCTAATCCTCACTTTTTAAAGCTGCTTTAGGGCAAGAGGAAAAACAGCAATATTTATGCTGGGAAACTGCTTATTGTTTGTCAGTGTTGTAAAGGAGAATATTGATTTGCTTATCAATCTAGAACACCTGCTTCAGAGTGCACACCTGGAGGGTGGGGGTCCTGGAAAGGTGATGTGATAATGAATTACTGGGAATTCCTGTCTGAGCTTTGATGTTGGTATCAAACGCAAAGGGTGTCTTCTTCAGTAGAAATGAGAGCAATCGCTCTTAGTAAGCTAACACCCCGTGCCTGGCACTTCACATGCGTTTAACCACGTGGCAACCAACCCTGAGAAGTAGGGACAAGGCAGGGACCTTAGCCCCCTTTAAGAGAAGTTCATACTCAGGTCTGTCTGAGTTAAAGGAAGGGTTATCAGAGTTGGCTCTGGATAGAAGAGTTACAGGTGATTTTTATGTTCTTCATAGTTTTCTATATTTTCAAACTATATAGGATAAACTTGAGTCCCCCACCCAACCTGTCTTTTTCTTCTTCCTTGTAGAAATCCCTGAAGGTTAACCTGGCTCTGAAGAGACAGGATTCCCAGGATAACATCAGAAGGAACTCCTTCTCAGAACTTAGAGGACCCTGTAAATAATGTTAACAATCAGTGCACACCTACTAATTACTGGGTCCTCACTGAACACATCATGCACCTTATCGTACTTGATCCTTACAATGCCCTGAATAGGCACCATTAATGTCCCATTATTGCCCCGGGATGGCTGAGGCTTAGAAAAGTTAAAGGAACATCCTCAAGGTCACACAGCTAGTCTGTAACAAAGTAGGGACCAAAAGCCAGACAACTGTCCAGAGCTGTTGTGGACTGAATGTTTTGTTCTTCCAAAATTCACACTCAAAAGCCT